TGTATTTCAAATCGAAAGGTTGAAAGTATTTTGTATTTTGTATTTCAAATCAAAAAATTGAAAGTATTTTATATTTTGTAATTCAAATACTAAGATTCCTAGTATTTTGTATTTTAAATACTTTAATGTATTTTGCCCAGCCCTGTATATATATATACACACAAAAACATTTTATTATAGTGTTTTGGATCAAACCTCTCGAGATAATAAGCTACACAAGAATATGTAATGAAAAATGTACGGGTTTCATTTAAAAAATGTAAAGTGATCTTATACACTTGAATATCATGGAAAATATAAGTTTTACAGAAAAGTACGTGTTTCAGTCAAAAGTTGTAGGGTTATAACGAAAAGATCTATTTATTGATCTTATTGGTTTAACCTTGGATGGTGTCGCCAAAGACAATAAGGTAAGATATCACTTTAAATTTTTTTAATAAAACCCCCCATTTTTCACTGCATATTCTTGTAGCTTACCTTCAGAGCTTTGATCCAAAACACTACAATAAAATATTTTTCCAATCACTTCTCGAGTTATATTAAGGCTTGGAAGTTACAGTACCACTGGCATTAGCATTATCTTATATAAGGTGTCCGAATAATGGCTGAAACCTTTTGAATGTTGTTCAAGATCATGATCTTGATAACATATGTCAAAATCAAGGCCATTAAAGGTTGTTACTCTTACTGTCATTTTTTAAACTCATTTTTATTTTTTGAAAAAAGGAACAACGTCCAATGGTCATGACCTTGACATATGTTGTCCAGATCATGATCTTGAAAATTTAAAAGGTTTTAGTCATTGTTCGAACACCTTGGATAATACTAATACCGGCGGTACTGTAACTTTCAAGTTTCATAACTCGAGATTTACTTAACCAAAAAGTATTTTATTATAGTGCTTTGAAAAGCTCTTGACACTAGCTATTAGATTCTAGAATAAAAAATAAGGTGTTCTATTTAAAACAATTAATGTGACCTTTATCTGACCTTGGCGACGCCATCCAAGGTCAAGCCGATAAGATCGACAGATTTTTTAAAACCCTATAACTTTTATCTGAAACAGCAGCTTTTCTGTAGAACTTATATTTTCTAAGATATTCTGGGATCCTGACTTTTTTGGGACACCCTGTATATACAAAATTATAATAATCATAATTTATAATAATGATCATATTTAGTCATATTAATTCATTTTTTCCAGGATTCAGCACGTGGAGGCATAGTTCGCGCGCTTGGTATCTGTTTTTAATTTTAATTTTTTTTTAATTTTTCGATATTTGTAAATACGATTACATTATTTTTAGAATAAAGGATAAACATAAACATATTTAAATCGAATTCACTAAGATGTTTAAAACGACCATCTTCAGCACAAATGCAAAGCTTTATATTTTCTTCTCAAATCAAAGGAATCCTAAACTCTTTGAAAAATTTGCATCCTTCCAAATTATATATTACAGTTAATATTCGATTAACCAAACTCGATTTGAATATCTGTGGATATCGTTTATCGTTCATTCTAATAAAAATAACGTAATCATGTATTTACAAATGTCGAAAAATTGAAAAAAGAATAAAAACAGGAATACCAAGCGAAATACGCTTCCATGCGTGTAGTGAATCCTGGGTACAATTAGTACAAAAATGAATTATTATGACTAATTTTGATTATTACTTATTTTTATAAATTATAATTGTTATTATAGTTATGATTATGACATTTTTTTAACATAAAAGTGATTATAACTCAGAAACGACTTTTTTCCGGACCATATTACCTTTTTTACTTTTTTTTGGGTCCCACTTAATCACCTCCCAAAGTATTGCAGGTGATTTACTGTACACCTTGTATATACAGTGAGGAGCAAAAATTACGAAACCGCGCTTTTTAAGGTCAACCAAAACTCAAATAAATATCACCAGTTAATAGATTTTCTTAAACCTTACAATTTTTGTTTAAAATATTTTTCTATAAAACCAATACTTTCTGAAATAATTAGTCGTTCCGGAACTTTTGCTCCTCACTGATATATATCAAACATATTTTGATAATATGAAATTTTTAAATAAGTAGAATAGTATATGTATGTCCCAACGCCTGCTGTCACTGATTCATACGAAACTTAAAGCAACGTTTGTTCATTAGCTTCAAATTGCTCTCATTTTAAAACGCTCTAAAACAATTTTGCCAGAGGAGAAACTTGCTTTCCTAGGATAGAGAATAGCAATGTGCATTTTCCGTATGCACGAATTCTGATCGAGATACCTGTATATCTCTATATTTTTATAGGATAGTTTCATTAAAGTTAAAAAAATAAAATATTAAAATATTTTGAACTTTAAGTTTATTAAAATATATACTGAACAAAGCATTATGATTAATTAACGTAACAATTGCATAATATACTTGTAAATTTAGAGAACGCATGACATGTATATCTAGATAATTTTATTATATATTACTGTAACAATCGAAGTTAGTAATCAATACTGTGTAGACCATAATAGTAGAGAATAAAATTAGTATTCTTAAGAGTCCTCTGACTAGTCAACGCAGCCATATTTCAATTGTAACGTCATAAGCGAGAAATGACACGTAAAAGTTTCTTGCGTGCTATTTTTAAGTAAAGAAAATTTAGATGAAATAAAAAATAGAATCGCTTTAAAAAAACATGTAAAATTGGATAAAAAATATCCTTTCCCTCTCCTGATAGTAAATAATCGTAAAAGGTACGTGGAACATTCAGGCAAAAAAAAAACACATTATTTGATAGCTGTTGAAAGGAGTAGAAAAATATGCTTTTACATATAAAACTCAAAGATAACATTACTTTCCATCCATTTTTACGAATTTTATAAGTACGAGACAAATCACATTCTCACAATTAAGCACATAACGAAATGGCAAGATAAAATTTCGTTGTCAACGCTTCACAGTAAGATCCGTTTTACAATATGTCGGTACTGTAAGCAGGAAAAATTGATCGATTACAGTCGAGTATTCTCTTCACATTCGACAGTGATTGATCAATTCTTCCTTGTAAGCAGTTACAATACTAGCATACGACATATAGAATTCTTATGACTTATGACATCAACATGACATATTGTAGAATGGACTTTAGTAGAATGAAAAAGGTTCTATTTCTACCGCAATTTATGTCGTTAACGCGAAGTTCTTGGCTGAGTAGTCAGGAGCTTTAAATGTTGAAATGGGAAATTTCACATTTTTTAACAAATGAAAGACAAATGAAATATTCATACGTTGTACATACTAATTCAATTTTTGAAATAAACATGTCATTTAAAGACTCCTATTCACTCATATTGTGATGTCAGAAGCAAGAAAATACACAATATAAATTCTCAACATATATGTATATACTCAAGTAGAAATATTTTTCAATGAAACATTTGGAATCGATTTATAAGACGAGAATAAACTTAAAATATATCGAAAATTAGCTTTTGATTTCAGGAAGAAATTATACATTATTAATTTGACAGTTATTGCAGAATTCATTTTCAGTTATAATATAACTCTTTATTAACAAAATAGGAGTTTTCGATATAGTTTACAAATTGATCATATCGATTATAAGTGGGTTTTATTAAAACATATTTTAATATATTTTCGTTTCTGGCATATAATCATAATATAATATATTATGCCGAGTGAACAGAAGTCTTTAAAAATAATTCGTCGAACCAATAAAAAATGGTTTCTAAAAAAAAAAAAGAAACGCGTTGTTTCTAAAAATAAAACGTGACTGTTTATAACTAGAATTATATTCAATATGGATGAGTTTTTTTTGTCGAATGTTTTTATACACTTTGTGTAATTTGACCAAATTTGAATAAAATTTGAAAGAATGTTACTTTTTCTCGAAAGTGCAATATATCATCGGTGACGTCAAAAACGTTCTTTATTCATAAGGCGCAATCAAAATCATTTTTTAGAAAATATAAGAGAAACATACATTTCATGATTCACTTATATTGTAAACTTTGAAATCGGAATAGTTTATTAATGTAACTTTGGTCTATAAAAAATACAACTAAAAATCTATTTAAATTTATGGTAACATACATTATCCATTTACTTGGATGTAGTATCGAATCCAAACAAAAAAAAATTTCCGAAATCAATGATTACAATAAGTGTACAAGAGGTAACATGGAATGGTAATTCTTAGGAATAATTCTCTTAGGCATAAGTATTGTCACATCAAGTTGCAAAAGTCTTATCGACAATTCATGCGAAACTTTCATGAATTTGATTCTCACTGCAGTCATAATGAATATCTAATCGTGGTAAAAGAAATGAACTGTTTATATAATAATGATTCAATTAATTACAGTGAGTCTTAAAAATTATCCAAAAAATCAGAACACTAAAATAACTATTGATAGATTAATATTATACATTTCACACAGCTTAGTATTTATCTTTTTTTTTTTTTTTTTAAAGAACGTTTCATGTTAATGCCAATATAGAGAGTTCTCTTTTATAAAGCAACTTCATAGTGATGTTACTTCAAACATAAGCAATAAAAGTATTATTTGTATCAATGCTTGGTTTTTTCTTTTACAGTTCCAATTTCTCCAAGATTTTAATATTATAAAAATAAAACTTGTTTCCGTAAGTAATCTGCTTAAAATGGTATAATACTGATTAAAAACAAAGTAAAGAGATAATGATACATACAAAACTGAAAAAAATGAAATGTTACAAAATGAGAGATTATAAAAAGTATAATGAGTTTTGCAACTGCGTGTCCGGCGCTCGGTGAATAAACTTACTCACTAGGAACGCTAGTTTATGAGCATAGTGGCAGGGCGCCGGTACCCTAACGGTGTTTGAACAATTATAATACATATGGGTCAGTTTGTAAGTTAGACGTTGCATCTTATCAGGATCTAAACCAAGATTATCGTAAATAACACTGTAAGCAGTGGGCGTGACTGTGCCCTGTCGCACTTTCTGCGATACAATGAAGAAATCGTATTTAATAGGACTTGTAATGACGTCGTCGACTATTGTGCCCGTTGCTGGATTGTCGTTATTTTCAAAGAACCGTGTGTTCAATCGCTTTGTCACAATTATAAAAGCCATTTTGTATTTATCTGGGCCACCATACATCCGGTCAAGCCTCTTTCTGATATACTCAACTTCACGTTCCATCACCTGTGAGACTTGACCTTCACCAACACCGTCGCGATAAATCACAATGCGACTCGGCAGGTTTTTGTTATGCGCATAGTAAGCCTGTACAGCCTTACAAATGTTGTCAGAAAGATCATTCGACAATTCCTCGCCGGTTGTGTGCGCACTTACCGCGCTGAAATACTTTGTCATGCGTTTATCCAAACTCGCCACTGTAGCACCTGCAAATCGATGTTAATAAGAGATCGAGAGAAATAGATGAAAAAAAATTGCATCTTTATCTTTTAGTCATTTTTTTCAACGCATAATTTTTGTTCTCAAATAAAAATCAAGAAAAATTAAGAAACATATATCGCAAAAATATAATAAAAATTGACAGATAATTTAACATATGAAGATTAATTTAAGAAACTATAATTACATATGTTGCATTTCGAGCTTTTTTTTATGTAAAATTATTTAAAAAATCTGGAAAATTCTACTCACCGAAATCTTTAGTCTTTACCGTTGTGTCGTGGCAAACGTCGAATCCAATCATCATTATTCCATCTAACGGAATGTCTACGAACCACGGTGCTCCACCCAATTTACAATTCATCTGTATTGCTATCTTTGTAGCAATAGATTTGATGTTTCTGTGTGTCATTGTTTTTACCAAGCAGACCTGCGATGGCACAGGCCGGTCCACGCAACATTTTTTCTTGATCGCCGAGTAACGATCGCTGCGATTATTTGACACCACACAAAACACCAATTGCGGTAAACTTTTACTTAAAATTTGTTCCAGCATGTCGCTATATGTGCCTGGTCTATCATCGCGAAGATATTCATTTCTTGGACGACTCACTTGAAATGATATTCCATGCGATACTTTTATTATATGTTGTATAAATTCCTAAAATAAAATATCTATTAAAATAAAAATTCAATATTTAATCTCAATATATTCTAATATGAAAAAATGTCTATTGCCCTATAATTAGTGAGTAATAATTCGACTGAATTACTATATATGTACACTCGCTCACTAAAAGGTTGCGACACTTTTTTTTTATAGGTTTCTAATTTATATTTAATATACGTAATATATACTTTATAGATAACTAATATTT